TGCATCCAGGCGGGTCTTGAAAATCTCCAAAGAAGGGGACTCCACAACCTCCCTGGGCAGCCTGTTCCAGGGCTATGTCACCCTCACCATGAAGAAGTTTTTCCTCATATTTGAGTGGAACCTCTTATGGTCCAACTTGTGCCCGTTGCCCCTCGTCCTCTCAGTGGGAACCACTGAAAAGAGTCCGGCTCCCTCCTCCTTCAACCCTCCCTTGAGATACTTGTAGGCGTTGATAAGGTCTCCCCTCAGCCTTCTCTTCTCCAGACTAAAGAGTCCCAGCTCTCTCAGTCTCTCCTCATAAGGGAGATGCTCCAATCCTTGAATCATCTTTGTAGCCCTACGCTGGACTCTTTCTAGTAGTTCCCTGTCCCTCTTGAACTGGGGAGCCCAGAACTGGACACAGTACTCCAGTTGTGGCCTCACCAGTGCAGAGTAGAGGGGGAGAATGACTTCCCTTGACCTGCTGGCCACACTCTTCCCTATACAACCCAAGATACCATTGGCCTTCCTGGCCGCAAGAGCACACTGTTTACTCATTGTCATTTTACTGTCCACCATATTACAGCAAATACCATTGCAAGACTGTGAGCAGAAAACACAATCTACAAATGTAAAACATGGTTTGGTCATCTCTACACATCTAGACATTCAACTACCACTACGTGCAGCAACATTTACAGAAGACTGCTTTATACACAGCCTGCATGCAAAAGCACTCTTATAGCATGTAAAGATCCAATCTGACACATGCAAGCTAAAAATCTGATATAAAAAATAATCAAGTTTGGGAGGGAAAGGTTGTGTTGGTTTGTTTGTTTTTCGATAAAATGTATTTGTTTATATTCTAAATCTACAAACATGCCTACCTTTACAACTGTGTCCTTTTTTCTGTTTTTTTTTCCTTGTCCCCAGCCCAGAAACAATTAATTTATACTCCTGAAGTTCACAAACACTTCTTCAAAGGGGTGCTGACAGTGTTGGTTGTACTGGTTTGTTTGGTCCAAGGGACAGGTCCAACATGTCTTCTGTCCACTAATTTGTCATTGATCTGACTACTGTGTTTGGTCAGTAATCTTTGTTAGAATAACTTGTTTTGCATGACTGTCATCTCTCCTGTCACCTCCTAGAATGGAAGTGTTCTTCAAATGAATGATCTCCCAATCCAAGCAGTGGTTTCTTTCAGATATATGTATCTTATCACCATCTCCTTCAATGCCTCCCACTGAAGCTCACTGCAAGCAAACACTGCCTAATACAGTATATTTCCTTTAACTAAAAAGAAAAGGCCTAAAGAAAAAGTACATCTCACATGGGACATGTTCCCCAAGGAGATATTATTTAATTAGCCAAATTCCAAGACCAGCACTGAGATTTTACTCACAGAGGAATACATCCAATCTTACTTTCTTCTCAGTGGGATGTGAGGTTTTCAGAAGGCAGAGGTGTGGTGGAGAGGAAAGTTATGGGTTGGGCTAGAACTACGCACTGAAAGAGGACAGCCTCAATAGTCTAGTCAAATCTTCATCCCTCTTCTCCCTAAACTGAAAGCAGCCACTGACCTAGGCTATCAGTAATTGTCTAAGACTCATTACAAAAAGGAAGTAATGGTTGCTACAAAAGGAAATGGGAGCCTCCCAAAAGGTTTAGTCCCTAGAAAGGTTATTAGGCCATTGCATGCAGTGGCAGGCAAAGACAGGAGAGGAAGCTTGCTGACTCAGCTTTTACAGCACACTGCACTAATTTAGTCCATGCAATCACTCTGTCATTTTTGCAGAGAACATTTCAGCATTTATGAAGCACTTGCCTGCAGTTACCACCCAGAAAGCCACATAGAAGCCAAGGCATATGGTTTAAAGATTTATTTTAAACATACTGGGTAAATACAACTGAGATAAAATAAAGCTAGTGGTTGGCAAATGGACAGGTGCTGCAACAGGACTAACTGTTTTCACACATTTACAGATGATATTCCTTTGCAAGGAGAATAATCAGTCCTAACACAGAAAGGATAGCACTATGGAAAAACAAGTTTAGTTCTGCAGTTTTGCAAAAAGTTTAGTGCTTAGGTACAACAGTTGCTTCCAAGATGTTTGTGTCCATGAAAACAAACGGATTACTACATCTGGAAGTTTGCCTATTATCTCACACTTTGAGAATAATCTCCCCCTTTCAGTCACAGTCTTTTATTTGGTCATCAGTAACCATTAAATCCCTGAGTGTCTGATTTACAAAAATACTGGCCTGCCCTGTAATCATTGTTCCTTCTCCATTATTCAGTTAGTTACATAGTTACAATGTTTATGTGATAAACATTATTACATAAGGCAATTTGCGTGTATTTTTCTTGAATAAATAACTTGCCATACCAACAAAATTATTGCTAAAAAAAAAGCCTCTCTTTCTTTTATCTTACTGTACCTTTCTGTTACTAAAACTAATCAAGTTGGTAGAAATGCAGAAAATACAGTTAAAGGCAAAATATTAAAATCTGCTATGTAGGGCAAAGAACAATAAAATTCAATGCCAGAGAGCCAAAACCCTGTCACTTACTGTCTTTCCAACACTGTCCACTGCCCTTCAATTCCATTTGATCTATACTGGAGCTCTCAGACACACAGATAAGGAAATCACACAGAGATAGCAACAAACAACAGCACTCAAAACTCAGAACTGGTAAAAGCAATATATTTCTTAAGTTTGTCCACATGGAATGGATTAAATTCAAAAAAAATGTCACTGTAGGACACGCACAAAGATACCCTCTTCCTCAGCCTACTCCCCGTTCTCCTAGGACTCCACTAACGATCTGAAACAAATTTTGGCAGTTCCAGTTAGCTCTAACATCATGCAGAAGCCTTTAGAGGATTGCCGAGCTCTACGAAGACCACACTGTTGAAAGGTACACAGACAAAGGCTCTTTCAGCTTTGCCTTGTTGTGTACACCCACCAGAAAGTATTTTTGCTATTGAGGCAGCTGTGACAAGCAACCAGAGGCAACCAACTGAGGAAGAAGGGGAGGAAAAGAGCTGCACGTGTATTCAAAATGAATTATAGCAGACAGGTAAAGGAAATGGACTCTAGAAAATCCTGTGAGAGGAAGGATTATTTCCAAAGACAGATTTAGAAGTTCCTGTCTCATCTAAAGTGCCCTTTCAGCGAGTTTCGAACTTGGAAATCTCAATAAATAACAGTGTCTTCCCATTCTACCTTGTCTAGTGATACACACTTCTTCTGCATGTTTGATTAGTTACAGAAGAGCTTGATACATAAGTTTTTCAGAAAGAAAGAAAATATTTCTGACAGTCTCTTTTGACAATTCAGCACACTAGATCAGGATCAGTGTTACAGTAACATTGCATTGCTAGCTCTTTCAGTTTTATGCCTTCCACAAAACGTAGTGTTTCTTCAGACCTGTTCACTGAAAGAATCACATGTATATACGAAGACTATATATAAAAATGTGCAATTTTTAACTGGTTAAGTTCTTCCTCCTGTAATATCTCTCTCAAATTTCACAAAATAGGCTGCCTGAACAACAGACCAGTTCCAGATGAAGAGTCGTTATAGCCCCTTGTTTGCAAAAAAAAAAAAAAAAATTCTCTATTTTTAAGAGAGAAAAAAAACAAGGCTGAAAATGGAACTGTATTATTTTTGTCCTGCTGTTGATCTAGGTTTTTCACAGTTATCTTTGTAGGAATCCCATACTAAGCAAACTAGCAGCATAGTATCTTTGCAAGACATCAAGCTCTGTTTTATGAATTGGAATTTTATACAGTCTGTGAAATTTAAATTGTAAACTGTCTTTTTTCATTGTTGACTAAAATATGTTCCTCTCAAGTGCAGAGTCACTAGCAGCGACCACCCGCTTTGAACTTGATTGCAATGAAGTATATGGTTGTAATGTTAGCTTTTTTGTAATGTTACATTTCCAAAGCCCTTATAAAGGGGAACAGAAAGATGGAAAAAGCGACAAATTATAATGAATAAAAAAAGCAAGAATTACTCCTCATGTTGAGGGATATCAGTTGTTTAGCGCAACAAATTCTCCTTTAACAACTCTATTTCAGCCAAAGGGAAGAAAAAACAACAATTGGTGGTCTGCACAAACCATTACCTTTGACAGAGGAAGGGACAGTGCACCAACGTGCCAGCCCTGTCACCGGGGGGGTTTCTCTGTCCCACCCTTACTGCCCTACCGCAGCCTGCCGTGCCTGGATTTACACCCACAAGAGCACAGAAAGCAGCAGGGACTGGAAAGGTCATGAACCGATATTATTTTTACCACTCCGCTGGGTGTTTTTGACATTTTGTGATGTTCTTGCACCAAGCGTGTGATGGCCTGGACCTTCATAATTTCTTTATTAAGGGTGGCCAGCTGCTCGTGGGGCTGCAGGTGATGCACCCACACGCCGAGCAGGAAAGGAGCCAGCCTGCCCCCCTGCCCTCCCCGGCACCCCCTCCCACGGCAACCCATAAGGGGGGAGAAAGTTGCAAAAACGTGAGGAGTAAGTGAGAGGGAAATGGGAAAAAGACCAAGTGGACCAACTACTGATGTGGGGGACACGGTGTGGGGTGGGGGAAAAAGGACAAGTTAGTGGCAGAGTGAAAAAGGAGGAGAGGGTTGTGAGCACGGCGTGGCGCCTAGCTTTTAAAAGTGACCTGACACCATCATTCTTTATACGTTAGGAAAATTAAAAAAAAAAAAACAACATATATTTTCTTCCAGTTAAAATATAATTTTATCTATTTTACTGCAGTTCTGTATCACCTGGCATGTTTTTGAGCACAAAACAGCTCATGACATTTAGCACTGACACAGGGTAACACCGTCTGCAAGTAAATGAAAAAAAACCAGGTCACACCAAGAAACCTGATAACTCGGAACAACCCCCTGACCAGAAAGCAGCAGCCCGAGCAGAGGATCGATGACAATCCGCCCCAAAAGAGAGGACAACACCGTGGAAAGAGCCCAAGACAGACAGAAGCAGGTGAAAACTCACCACTGGAGCAGTTGGGTCCTCCCCAGCCAGGCTCACACTGACAGGTGTTGGGAGCAATACAACGGCCGTGGACGCATTTATCAGCACAATGAGCTGTCAGAGAAGGAAAGAAAAACAAAATTAAGGAAGAACTCCCAGCACTGAGAAAAACATTCGAAACTTATTCCTAATCCATCCAGGTCTTTCATGTCTCAAATATTTTTTAAAAGCAAAATAAACAGTGTATTAACGTTTGATGCCATCTCTTCAAATAAGTTTTACTTCACTTTCTTTTATTTCTCCTAAGTTTGAAGGCTCCAACTAAAACCATATTGGTGCTACTCAAATAGTTTTGCATTTCACAAAGAGAAAACAGTCTACATTTAATGAAAAAGAGTTGTAGCATGATATAGGTTGGAAATGCATCTGACCATGATCCTGGGCAAGAGACCTGAGGTGGCCCTGACTGAGCAGGGAAGTTGGATGACTTCCACAGGCCCCTTCCAACCTCAGCCACCCTGTGATTTTCTGAAGCAACCTCTCACACCAACAAAAAGAGAAGAACTTCTGCATGCATTAAAAGAGAGGTTCTCTTGGAACGGCATGGACAAAATACAATTTGCAGTATTTTAATATTGATTTTTCTGAATGGTTGCACAGTTCAAATAAAGCACAACAAAACAGTGATGATAATTAAGGTAAGGCATGAGATAGAAACCCTATGAATCACTGTACCTTTATTCTAAGTGCTAAGCAGAGCTCCCTGAAATTTTTCTTTAATTTTTTTTTTATTATTTGCAAGCACATGTTTCTACAGCTGAGGCTTCTTTGAAATACAGTTTTTATCTGAAGCTTTTAAGAAAAACCTTAAATGGCTTCAATATCCAGCACATTGTTGTAATTCACTCAAAATACAATATGCTGAAAAGGAAGAACCTGCAACCAGCAACTGGTAACCCAGCATCATATTCATCACGAACATATGAACATACCCTTAAGTTTCCAAAATATAGACAATGTAATACTTTCCTTCTAGTTTGAACAGTAATAAAACTTAACAAATGTGCACAGGATGAGAATTTTCTTTGTACCAACATTTCCAGAGAAAGTATGACAGCAATCCTATTGATATGCCAATGAATACAAGGTGAACAATGGGGAAAAAGACAAAGTTGGTGTTTGCAAGAAGTTTAATGGGACTATATGTGGATAGTTTACATTAGAACAAGCTGAAAAGACATGAATGACATCAGGGACAGAGAAACTATTTTCTCTTGTTTTTTTGTGAAATTGTTGGACATGGTACAAGAAAATACTTGCGTGCAAGTGCAGCTGAAAAACTTAACATAAAGTCTTTTTGATACTGAGCAGTGTAATGAAGCACCAAGAATTCACTGGCAGCACTAAATTACATAACTCATATTTGCAAGGCAAAAATCAGCTATCATATGGAAAGCAATCTGAGCTTACTCTTGTGTACTTCTTTTTACATTTCATCTCTCCTGTTCTTCTGTGCCTTAATGCTTCCTTCAAATTCTTCTCTAACGTCTTGCCTTATCCAACTTACAGGTCTATTTCAGTGAATTGTATCCTTTCGTTTTCTTAAAAAACGAAAGGTGGATTCACTCTTTCTGATTATAGAGTCTCAGCCAGCTTGGAGTATCTATAAAATATCTGCTGCTGTGTGTGCAATTCCATGTAGCAGCCTTTCTGTACCATTGGAGGAGCTTCCCCATCCGCAGGACACAAGCCCACCAGGCTGCTTGAGCTCTGTTCCTACCTCAGTTGCAATCACTGTTACCAGCTTCTGTTCCTTCTGTTCCCAGCTGAACAAATATGCTCTGCTGGGGAAGCTCAGCAAAGTGGATCAACAGGAGAAGACATGTGTAACCCACCCAGGCCATTGCCACCATTATTGCAGCAAGCTGAAAGCCATGTGAGGCATGGGCTTGGCCAACACGCTGGCAGAGATGCCCTAGCCCACAGCTTCAGGAGGGGAGCTCACTCCAGGGGGATTAAGCCAGTCACGCCAGAGGCATAGAACGTATAATACAATTTTAGGTCAAGCTGCCACTTTCAGACACTCAATCACGTGTCTAGTACCGATACCAATGAAGAGAGGGAGACGGTGCTCCAGCTCAAGAGAAGATTGCAATTCAGATGCCTACTTGTGTGCTGAGGGGCTGCAGCACACCGCCTGCCGTGCGAACGCAGATTGCCTCTCCTGTGTGACACCCACTTGAAGTATTACAGCTGAGTGGAGGAACTCCTGCGCCCCATACGGCTTCCACTTCAGCACCAGAGCGTATATGAAGAGTGGAACACCCTAAGACCTGAAATTTCTGAATGGCATTTTGTAAATTTGCTCCCTGTGATTAAGAAAGTGACATGAGGTTTATTTCATTATCAGTCACCCCAGACAACGTTTAGACAGCTGTGCATGGCAATATCTGATGTTAAAAGAAGACACAGCAAAATTTCTAGTAATAATATTTCAAAAAGGAATTAGCATTTAAGAGCTATTGCTTTTTCATTTGGAAAAGCCAGGCACAAATCAATTAACATAAAAAAAGCTTGAAATTTTTTCTCTGTAATTTTGCATGTAAGTAAATGACCAAGAGAATCAAATATGGTTTCTCAATTAGTTTTCTTTTAAACAAATTAATCACATCATCAAATGAGCAGATACCTGAAATCATAGCTGATTTCATGAGATTTCACACCTGACATCTATTAAACAAAATTCCTATCAACTTCACAGACAATTCATATTAGGAAGACTGGAGCAGTATCTGAACTGGGCCTGCTTTTGGATTATAAGTAGATCTCCATATTATTTCTATCAGATAAAAGACCTTCTACAAAAGAAACCATACTGCATGTCTGACCGTGCTTCATTTTTAGCATTTCTGCTAATATGACTCTATCCTTATTTGGATACTGAATCCTTAAAAAGAGAAAATTGAAGAAATATATCAGAAACAGAAAAAACAAAAACAGAAACAGAAAAAAAACCCCTCTTCTACCTATTTCACAAGGTTTAACTTCAACTTCCTCAAAAATAATTAAAATAAAGTCCCTGGGCATTTATTGTGCCAAATAAAAATCATTAATCTTTTAAACTACATTATAAATATGTTTTTTCAGATAAAATCTCCACTTCCATACTGTATGCAAGAACACAACCTTTGGTTAATCCTTTTATTCTATGCTTGATGAGTAGTTGCTTTTGAAGTGAATGATACCCAGTTAAGGATTAAGATAAATGGTTTATTTTCTATTTCATATCTAGAGAAAGTTCAACCAGCATAATTCTCCTTTAATATTCTTAGAAATGTGTTACACTGTCAAAAACTGTATGTGAAGTTAATGTTCAAGATACCAAAATGCTACTAGGATCAATCTACTTCCTGCACATGGATGAACCTACAAGAAAGCCACCAGAAGACATCTTAAAGTCTTTGAATCCTTTCATTTCAGAAACATGCTAAAAATTCAATGGACTTTGTAAATGTGAAAAAAGAAAAAACAAAAAGGAGATTGCACTTTTTGTACAAACTTCTCTGTCTGTAGCTCAGCCTAGCATCCATCTGCTACATCTCCTACGTATTGATGCTGATATTAGGAAGTGACAGTAAATTACTTTGAATAAGTACAAGACTAAGTCAATTACTTAACCTGGTATGGACATTCTGACGCCAGGAGTAAGTTCCTTTTCAGAACTCAACAGAATTATTTTATCTTTGTATCTGCATATAAACTGCATCCAGATCACCCCGTCAGATCTAAACATTATTTGCATATACTGTAATTCAGACTGGACTCCATAAGACTCAAAAAACCCCACATATATTTGAGCCAATGCTTTTCTCTGTCTGTTGGCTGTTGGCCATTCTTTTCCTTGGCAAATACAACATTTAGAGACTTTAGCAATACGAGGTTGGCACATTTATGCAATTCTTTATGCAGTGACAAACAATTCTCTCTCCCCCATAGGTAGTGAGGTGCTATTACCACTAGTAAGCACTACCTCTAGGGGACCAGTGACTGGTTAAGGGAATTATTCTACAGTATCACTGGAAAAAGACTACTGACAGTGGTAAGGTACTCAAGCTAGAAACATTTATAGGATCAGACCTTTAAAATATAGTTCAAAATACACACCAAAGAGGTGACAAGAAGATTCTAAACCCACAGTTTGACAAGCAACATCAGCTGAAAGTATTTCTAGTTGCCCCATTGGAAAGCACATCTGCTATGTACATGTTCACTATGAAGAAAGTTGGTTGAAACAATAGGAAGCATGAAATATTTGCCACCTTCTATTAACTATCGGTCTTCTCCTTTGCCCTGAGTCCTCAGCTCCAGTTCAAGATCATGAGGACTGGAGGTCTCTCAATGCCTTCCAGGGTCAACCATTACTGAATGAAATAAATGTGTAGTTAGCTCCACTGAAGGATCTTTATTTTTACATAATTTGAAGTCTGAAGCATTCCAAAATTGCTTCAGGAGTCAGAGCAGATATGTCCTGAATATCAGTATTTGGCATCTTTTTACGTAATAACAGTAAAAAATTAGTACATCCTATGTGACACGAATTTACAAGCTTCCGAGTATTACTATGTTAATATAGAATGAATTTACTACATATACTATAGCTATGTAAAAGCTGTAGTCACATAAGAGACTCATCATCACACTTCTTATGATCAGTTTATGATATAATTCAGGAAGTATACAACTTCTGAAGCGTTATATACTTCAAAAAGTATACTACTTAATTATTATCATATATTATTATATACCACCTAAAATCAAATATGACCGTTCATATATATGCTCATATAATAAACAAATGTAGTAAGAAATTGGTTATCATAAGTCTAATACATACACATTAAAAAGAAAAAGGTTGAAAAAATTGCCAAACTGATCTCAGACAGATCCATTTTGCTAAAAAGTTGTTTTTTAAAAATATCATTTTGACATCACTTTTTCAAAACACTTTAAATCAAATATCTTACTGCTCTGTTTTCAAATTTCAGGAAGTGCTGCAAAACAAAAATATAAATGAGGATAGTGTGATGTGTTATGACACTCACAGGGTATAATTTTCCAGGGATACTAATCAATCCTGTCGGTCACTTCCAGAATGCACATCCCAACAAGCAGAGAGGCACAAATTAAGAAACTATTTTGCATTGTTATCCAATAAATAAATTTAACACACATACTCATAGTGATTTTCAGACTCTTGTTTACCGGTAAAGACCAAAGACTTATGCACCACACTGTCATCTCCTAAACTGGGTTGCAAAATCCAGCCCCAATGGATTGCTGTCTTGTTATCTGTTATTTCACAGGATGTTTTCCTAGATAAGTTTCTCCATGCCTTGAGTTCTATGCTTCATCCCTGTCATGATAACTGCAAGGGAGGCAATGAAGCCATGAACGTGACTCCATTTCTCTTGTTCTCAGCTGAGAAAAAAACCCACCAGGTAAAGCAGCGTGCCTTAGGGCGTTTGGCCGAAAACACGCTGTTGGAGAGCCAGCCTTCCCCCTGTGCCCGGGTCCAGGTCCCGCTCTGGGTGGGTGGGAGCTTGCTGCCGGGCTCCCCCGCCGAGCCCGGGGTTGACTCGGCAATGTGACATGGAGCTTCACATGAAAGGAGCTAAAGCAGCCGCCAAAACAGCTCACACGCTGTGGCTTTCCCAGTAAGCTGGGCTTTTCACTTTTTTCTCTTGGCAAGGCTTGCCAGTTGGTTGCCTGTTCAGAAACTGGGCGGTGAGCCCAAGGGCAGCCCCTGCAGTCCAGAGGCTCCAGCCTCCCACCAGGGCCCCGCATTTCCAGAAAAAATTCAACTATATTGCCTCACTGCCTTTGACATTGTTAGTTAAGGTTCTCCAGATTCTTTAAATCTCATTATTAGAGGAACAGATGCAAAAGCAAGGAATGGATATACTATCATGCACACCCTTTCTGCCTCCTAAAATTCATAGAAGTATATTCACAGGTCAACATCACAAATGATATTACAGACAAATGATTGCCCCAGATGAGTCCAGTTTTTCAAGGAGACGAAGCGACTGAGAGATTTGTTTCCCTGACTTCTGCAAAACTTACCATTGTGGTCCATGCTGCGCACGTGCACTCACAGGGACAAACAATGTGAAGTACTATTGAATTAAGTTCATGTTTAGCCCTACGCATTTGCCCGTCTCCAAGGATATGCTATCCTTCACATTTGCTTACCTACCACAGGTTCCCTGCCCTTGGTCATGCCAACACGAGCATTTAGCTACCCTACCCTACCTGAACACTGTACGACTTCGAACAGCCCTGTGTTAAACTACTAACCATACACTTCCAAGGCTCTGGATTAACACCTCCTCTATTTTCATTCTGCCTTTCTACAATGCTCTTGAATGAACACTGTTTTAAGAATCCGACCTTCTAGGTCTGCATAAAGCCATACAAAAGTGAGAAAGCTGAGCCAAGGCCACCCCCAGGCTCTGGACACAGCTCTTCCCTCTTTAGACTTACGGGGGAATGTGCCACACGAAAAGGTGGTACTGCCACCTTCAAACAGTTGTAACAGATCTCTGTATCTGCAAGAGAGGCTAAGCATGGGGAACAACCAAGGCACATGCCAAGGGGAAAAAACTCCTCTTTACCTTCTGGTTTTGAACCTTGTATTTATTTACTGTGTTGAAAAATGCACTGACACTTGTGCTGTGCATTTTCCATATGATCATTAGCTAGAATCACATCAAGGCAGGTTACTTAGACATCTGAGATCCAATTATCCTGTCATTTGCATATGCACAACACCAATTGACTGCAACGAGTGCTGCACGTGCACCACTGATGAATAACTGAGCCCCCATAACTCAGCTTCCAGAAGTCGCTCGTTAAAGAGGAGTCAAACCAGCATTGTTATAAATGTATAGGATTTCAAAGCAAAAAGAAGGTGAACTTACGGACACACATTTCCCTGCTTTCATAAAATCCAGGGCAGCACTGGGATTTACGCCTGTACATTGTTTTTTCACCATGTCTGTAGGCAGTACGGTAACTGATCCTAAAGAAAAGAATGAATGGTAGTTACATACAACTCATGGTCCAGAAATGAAACAGTATATATTCTTACACATTTTAAAAAACATTCAGGTATCAGAACAGGAGAGGAAAAAAAGTCAAAGAGACCTTGATTTATCTGTTGCTGAGTTCAAGGGTTCTAGTGGTTCCCCAAGAAGCCTTATGTCCATGGGTGGCCAGACAGCAGGGAAAAGAGTTAAGGATTTTGGCTGCTTAACTAATATGCAAACCAGAGCATCACTGCCTTTGCCATTAGCATTCCCTATGGAGGCTAAAGGCTGACAATACAAATCAGTTTGCTGGATCATTACAGCTATCAGTTTCCAAGGGAAAGACTTCTGGGGATCATCCTCCCAAGAGTGAGTCAGTTTTCTAGGGGCAGAGAAGTTCTGGTTAAGGCAGAGATGGAAGGGCTCAAGGGAGAGCTTGGACCTCCTGGGCAGCACTGCATGCCTCTTGCCAGGGGAGAGGCTGCCTTTTGCCAAACACAAGCCTGCAGGGCAGTGGTGAGCAGCACACAGAGAAACCAGCATATAAACCCATCAAGAACTGCAAAAATATAGCTTCTTTCTGACATGAGCAGGTAGTATTTATCAGAAGTGAGCTCTCCCACTGCTCTCTCCTGTCTGCTCCACACCGTGTCTGTAAATCTCTCCACCTGACTCTCCTGGCTGCTGACCACATATTCCACCCAGCAGTAAACACATCCCCTCAACACCTGAGATGATAGTCTGAACTCCCAGCAAGGAACAGCTCATATATAAATGGTGACACAGGTAAACAAAGTGTAATCTCTCTTTGAACTCAGTATCTGCTTTTTACATACTACCCGTACTGTTCTGTCTCCTCCAGCTGCTGTGCCCAAGGGACCCTTTCCCACTGCTGATAGTTCATACTTATGGGCATATTCCTCTGAGGAAAATGCTTTTTACAGCTGTCACCAATTTTTAATCATTCTCCCTTTGCTTCCTGTCTGCAAGCACAAGGAGTTTCCTTTAACAAATCTTTTTATTTTCCTTTCAAGTAGTGTACGGTTTTCCCAGAACACAAGGTTGCAAGCAGCAAGGGGTATCTCATGACATTTCTGACAAATACACCTCACAGGGTCTGGGGAATTTAATTTTGTGCATTGCATGCTTTTTCCGAACCGGTTTGTTTTCTGTTAGCACTCCATCAGATGATTAATCTCAAAGTGATAACAAAATGTCTGTGGCATTGCTTGGACACATACTTTCCAGTTGACAGCAGTTAGACAAACTAGTCACTACAGCTAAAATATCCTACATATCATTCTCTATTTCGACAGATACAAAACCTTCACAAATATTTACAATATCAGCATTTTGACAAGATTAACAACTATACATCACCTGTGTCGTGTGCACTTAAACCAGTTTAGGATGTCAGTACAGCTGGTGTAGTAAATTTGGTCAAAAGGATGTGGATATGACTCTTGCACTGTAACTGAATAACTGGTGAGAGAAAGACAGAAAGCAGACTGATTATATCTGATTTAAGTAAGTCCTGGTATAGAAAGGAATAAATATAACAAAATACTTATGCAACAAAAACTCACAGAAAGTTCAAGTTTAAGTAAAACATGATGAACTAACTTTATAAAACAGAAAATATCAATTGAAAGGTTTTTCTTCCACCAAGCAAAGTAAAATACATATGTGGAGAGCAATCATGTCTCTACTGTGTAATTCATTGGATGAAATAGTACTACTAGACATTTAAAGAAAAGTAATATAAGCCTACATTTAAAAAAACCCAAACCACCTGTGTTTCTAATGAGCAGCAAATTGAAGTAATATGTAGTACATCTTCTCCTATGGCAATAAACTTTTGCTAACATTACTGGATAGCTGTAAAACTAGTTAAGAGCCAGAAAACGTGGTTTCTTCTGTTATCATAAAAACCAGAAAAATCTCATTGGATTTTCTGAGAAATTTATATTTACAACTGTAGCTGTATCCATAGAGAAAACATATTCTTTGGTATGGAAAGGTCTGCCAGCATATTTGTATACTAACTGGGTATGAGCATAGAAATACATCTAAGTAATAATTACTGAAAAATGGTATAACAATTATGCCATCAAGCAGCCTATTCAGCAATCAGAAATTACAAAATATTAAAGATTATTTTGTTTACTGGATATTTTTAACACTGATTTTTAAAAAAATTTTTTCAGAAGTACTATACTCAAGTCCTATAGGCACAGTCTCCTAGAAATAAAACTACACTCTGAAGTCCAGGGCCTCCAAAGCTGTCAGTGGGGCAAGAGAAACAGCCCTGTTGCAAAAGGGAAAACTATTGAATCACCCTTGAAAACTCTTCAGCAGGCTGTTTGTGCTGGCAGTCAGTCAGTCCTTGGTTGCACAAGGGGGTTAGAAAATACAGGAATGCATGGCGAGTTCCTGTAGTAGGACTAATTCCCAGGACCAGCCAAAACACTTTACTAAGCATGTATCCCAGCTAGCTTTCACTCACTTTCACTGATGCCCTCCGTGACCTCTCAGCACCTATTGCAGGGAACAGCTGCGATCTCCCCTTCTTACTGTCATCGCTGCACTGAAGGAAAACACATCCAGGCCCACTTTCCCTAACTGCCCAGTGCTTACTCCCTGTTTTTCCTACGCCCATAAGAAGGCAAGCAACCCTAATCCATCCAGCTGTCCCACCGAGTCTGACAAACTGCTGGTGGGGTGCCGACACTGCCCGAGGCTCTGCGCTCTTCGTTACAGCACACTCTACCCCTTCTGGCTGTGACCGTGGTTCACTTGCAAAAAACTTTATTACTGGCTGGGGTGGATTTATTTAAAGCTTATAGCACTGCCAGTGACAGCAGCAGTAGCAGCTCGTACCCGGGGTTTTACTTTTTCGTGCTTATGTACTTTTGTCACCTGCTTCAAGCAACAGCGTGCATGTTTCAGTAAGCTTACTTCAAGTTCCTCCCCATTTCTGAGACTCGGCAGAAGAAGGAAAAAAGTTCACACAACAAAATGGGCAGGCTCTCTAGATGTATTTTTCTTTCTGCAGACTTTGAATAGTTTGTTTTAGAATACATTATGCAATGTAAATAGTTACAGTTGGGTTTTTTTCCTACTTTGCTTTCACTATGTTGTAGCTTCCCTCAAAACCACGTTTTTCTATAAAAACAGTAAACAAAGCACAGACAATATAGAACAGTACCCAGTAAGATGGCAGACACATGCCTGAATACTGTAAACAGGTATTTAGTATGGTAACTACTTCATATACATATACTTCATATAAGCCAAGCTGTACTCAACAGTAGGAAAAGAGGCTTCAAATTCTTCACATGAAGCTCAGATAAATTCCTGGGGAAAGTCCTTAAGTGATTTTTTTTAATAGAGACACTTCATAAAAATGTAAATACAAGTTTAAATTTTCTTTGCAAAGATTCAGCCATAGCAATCACAAATAAATATACAGTGGCTTAGCAGCACTCCCAGTGATTAAACATAAAACACAGTTTTATGCAGGAAATACTGACATCCTCAAGTGAACAGTAAGACTGCCTGAGGGAGTAACTGATCAATCACAGGCACAGTAATAATAATAATGATGAGACCATAAGGCTTGGTTTCACTACTTTCCTTTACACAGGAAAAGAAGCAGAGCAAATGCTCGTGGCTCAATCTCTCCTACCCATTGTGGGAATCTCTTTGAAATTAATGTGAAATTGGGTGAATGATCGGACCAACTAAATTAATTAATATATTTCTGTATGCTATAAATTTCTGAACCTCATCAAAAAAATTAAACAACAAATCTTATTTCAGATTCTGTGAATATTGAATAGAATCAGCAGAATCAAATTTGGCCAAACTCCAGTATGGTTAATTATGTTTTGCATATTAAGAGCTTCTTTTCACTTTAATTGAAAAAAGCTATTTTTATTCACTTCTTGTACCCAGATGGTTGTGTAACATTGCTGGTGCCACTGTAGTGTTTTTTACATCCCGATCTCTAGTTCAAAGATGGCTGCATTGCAGCCCAGCATGAAATAGTCTTTTACTTATCCATGAACTTACTTTACTCATACAATAATGCAATTTTTTTTTCCCAGTTCATCACTCAACTGAAAGCTTTAAATCACTTAAAACGTGCCAAGTAAAATGAACCAGAATTATTACAATCAGAATTCATATCATGCATTTTCCAGAAGAAAATGTTACCTTTCCCAGTGGCTGCACACATTGGGATCTTCCAGATTCAAAGGTAAAGTTGTCCCCATCCAATGATACAGGAGTATGACAGGGAAGCCAAAAAAGGAGTTCAAAGGAAGAACCATATTTCCAGAAAGGTGTCTGTAAGAAAAAATATTTACAATACATTAACAGTATTATACAAACAATAAAGCTGCTAAAACTGTATTGTTATATAAAATCAATATATATGATATAAAGCAATAGATACTTAAAGAAATACAGACTGCCTGCCTAGCAGCAGCCACCCTTTAATGCCCGTTTTGGAAGAACAACCCAAATGGAGTAGTTTCACACGAGTGTCAGGGCAGGCAGAGGGTGAACAAACCACATTTTAGAGGTCCCACGCTCTCACCAAACTGCAGGCAGCCAGGCTCGGTCCCTTCAGTGACGGTCTGTCCACACCAAATGACAGAGCTGCAGTGTAAAATAAAGGCTGGCATCCACTCAAGGCAGCACAAGTAGAAAGTTCAGCTGATGACACACCATCAGAAATCCTGCACACCCCTTGCTCACAGGAGGGGCTTGTGCCACTCCGCTCCATGCCAGCAGCACCCCCAGCTCCTCCAGCCCACACTGACCTCGCAAAAACCCGCGTGCTGCCCCATCCCAGACAGCATCTTTCCTAAAAACCTCTTCCCCCAACGGACACACTGACTTCACTGGCCTCCCTAAGGATGTCTGAGCATGGGGGGGGCCAGGCCAGCAAGGCGGGGTGATGCCCAGGGTTTGCTTGGGAAAGGATGCACCCTAACATCTGGGCACTGCCTTGACATGGGTGCCTCCAAAAACCCCTTCCTACAGGGCCCAGGCCACAGCAGCACATGGAGAGACACGAGTCAGAGGAACAAAAAACAATATAAAGATGTTCTGCAGGGGGTGGCGGTGTTGGGGTTTTTTAAATGCAAATATATAAATGCAATATATATAATATATATATATAATATCCTTAGCAGCTTTTCAAATTGCAGAACGACAGCACCGGAAGGTGCAATGGGAGCTCAGGGCTTGCAAAAAAGCGGCTCAGTGCTTTCACTAACGAACCTATAATTCTTATGCAAACAAATTAATTAATCAGAGGAAGGGTTTACATGACTTTGCTTTACATTGTTAACAGACTCGCATGTTATGCCGCATCGTAAACTGCTCTTTAAGGTTGAGTTCCCAATTCAGTTTGCAAAAATATCCTCTCCTTTGCCAGTCATACAATTCCCACATAGAATAAACATTCAGCTCATAAAAAATTCAGGTAACAACACAAAAATCTAAAAGATTATCCTAACACTTTGACTAGATCTATCTTTGTTTTCAAGCAAATTACTTTAATTTGCATACTAAAACACTTTTAATCCAACCTGCCGTTAACCCACAAATGCCAGCATGAATGCAGGTAATAGGCAATGGGTAATGACTTAAGCTACTGTATTTCCCTTTCAGTGAATGTATGACCTTATATCCTCATTTTCACACAAATTTTAACACTACGTGGCTACAGAGATCACCAAAAGAAAAAAAAAAGAGATCATTCAGTCTAATCTGTAGTATAATAAGAAGGTAATTTCTAATAATTATGTTTGTTTTGGAATAATACAAATATTTTTAACAAAGTAATTTAATCAGAAATAGAAATTTCTTACTTTAAATACTATGGAGCAGAATAAATCAAACCATGGAAATAACTGTATTTTAAGAGAAAAAAGTACACTAGGCCATGAAAAAAAATAGAGATAAAATAGTTTTTTACAGTACCTTCTTCAGAAGTCAGCATAAAAAAGCTCACAAAAGGAAACTATTATATTTAAGATATCTGACAATATCGAGATGATCCCATTTTGCTAAATCCCTCTTGAAAAATCAGGGCTGTTGAAAGACCTTTCATGGTCTGTAACTGTTTCTCTTCATGCAGAGAACTGCACAGCAGAGTATTCGATGTGCAGTTGTTCAAAAAGCAGTAAAAGCAGCTGTATTTTAAGCTAATAATTTCAACAAAGTGACAATTTCCTTCATTGAAAATAGTCACTTTGATTATGCAAACTGTAAACTGTAGTTCTTTTTTTTCTTTTATTCTCAATTTCAGTAACTTTCCTTTTGGATACATTCAACAAAATTTAAAATTAAAAAAAAAAATCATTTGCATGAACCCCCTAGTGTAAAACTTGATTGCATTCCAGATCTTTTGCTTAATTATTAAGGAAAATCAAAACAGAAAATCAGTAGAACTGATTAGCATTGCTAAAGTGTTTATATTAGCAATAAAAAATGTAGATGACTCATTTAACTCTTGCCATCTACAGTTTGCACTGAGATACCCTGTTCAGAGATTCACTTTTCTTATTATATATTGCTTAAATTATCTTACCCAGTAACGCATCGGTATCTTCACTATCTACATATATACAGTATCAGTGGTTTGAGTACTGAAAATGCTCATGTTGAAGAATGCTTTCTCTATGCAAATTAGTGATTAGTAGATGTGTGAGAGAGTCAATAACTCATGCTAAAACAAGAGAGTTCCTCTGACCTCCTACTGCATATTGTATAATTTATGTTCCTGAGCCATAAACAGGAATTTTGCTACCAGGCATCAAGCTTTCTACTGTGAATCGCACCCTTGACCTCAACGAGAAAGAACTTCAAAGGGGCAAATGGTTGTTCCCAAAACGCTCTCCAATATCCCACAACACGTTTGCATGTACAGGGCCGGGGGGGGGGGGGAAAAAAAGAAGACCTTTTTCAAACTTCATATGGGGGTTAGCAAATCTGACTTCACAACCTGACTAACCACACAGCAAATTTAACCTGTCCCATTACTGTTTACTGTCAGGTCTTCTTCTTCCACGACAGAACGTGTATGTCTCAACAGAACTGGAAAACCTTATTGCCCCCTATTTTTTATATTTTTTATACTGTTCGAGGCAGAAACATTTGTTGACAAAGCTGCATCTTTGCTCTCATTTGGGCAGGATCTTTCAGGCAGATCCTGTGCAATATGAGGTCTGTTTAGCTCAGAGACTTCCCTGTTTCCCTGGACTTTAATACAGGCCCATGGCTTAAAAACGTTAACAGGAAACCAATGCAACTGCATGAGACAACCTTAGACTACTCCCCTAAGTTTCTGTAATCTAATTAAGGAAATTTAGCTCATTATATGTTTATTATATCAAATGAAGATATTAATATTCACCAATAATAGTCATATTAAAAAATTAATCAGATCGTTCCGAGGCACATTGTAATTACTAACAAGCTCATTTTAATATGGTGTAACAGGTGTACAGGTATCCCAAAAATATACTGCCACAAATAACAGGTACTCCCCTAAAATGCTGCTCCATGTGAGCAACTACATGAAGTACATTCCTCTTACTAGTCAGCAGATGAAAAAGCATTAACCATTACTACCGGTCACCTGAGATTTGTAGGCACTTTTTCTACCACCACCAACTGTGTTGACAGTTTTGCACAGGTTTTGCTGTGGTTTGGGTTGTTTTTTTTTTGCTATAGAGTTTAGTATCAAAACTGGAGTAAGAACAGATAACCAAAAAAAGGCAAACAAATGCTACTCTTTCATGTAGTGAAAATTGAGACACAATTACAAACTAATCTCTCCACTTACCCAGAGCAGAGCCACAAGCAAAATTCAGGGCACACTGCTCGCCCTTAGATTTGTCATAACAAAAGATAAATAAATATGAGGGGAACTGGGGGAGCAGGGGAAGGTAAAACAATCCAACACATAAAAGAAGTAAAGGTTGCTCAAGGCTGCAAACAAGTATTTTTTGGTCAGCAAAATCAAGTGCTGCCGGTGAATTAAGCAGGATTAGAACTGCATGAGCAACAGAGAATAGTACGATACAATTGCCAACATGACATAATGGACCCAAGACCAAGGGAAATGTGCTGATGTAGCTCTCTCATTACTGTTGCAAAAGCATTTTTACCACTGCAACATAAAAAATGCAGCAGGAACATGCCATTTAGCTAGAAGATGAACTGCAGAATAGTAAGAGCTTTTCATACTTTATCATGGTATCTCTAAGGTTTTACAACAGTCATTTCTGCTTTTCTGCAGTGATATGGCACAGGTATGTCAGACTCTTCTCTGGGCCGTAATCTCACGGGCTGTCCTTAATTACCTTTCATTGCACTAACCTGCAGGTACAGCAAATGTTGTTTTAAAAAATCTTCATTCTGGGCATCATAGTTAACCTTTCAGACTGAATTGTAAACCTCCCTGTCACTACTGCAGAGACCCTTGCTGGTGCCTCTGCCTTCACACTCTCCAGAGCATGACAAAGCCAGCACCCCATAACAGGCTTAGTGACAGCTACCTACAGCTGGAAAACACAGCTCCAGAGGAGATAAAGGCTTTTTCTAAAGATATTCTGGTGAAGAATTGTTTGGTCCTTCGCTTCCTATGTAGTGTTTTTCACAACGTTATATTCTCCTCACCCCTGAGGTTCCACTCCTCTACCAGGGGCACAGTTTGTTTATAAAATCATCTCTTACACTACTGCTATTAGGCAAAGCAGAATTTGAACCTGACCTAGTCTTGTCAATGATGATTAGTCCCGTGTTAACTTCTGCGAAAAAAAACTGATTGCTTTTATTGATCACATTAGAAAATTAATGGGTGAAGAGCAGAAGGCGTTTTTCCTTTGGAAATCAGTAAATCAGTTTGATGCTCTGTCACATGAAACCTCACTTGTAAATCAAATATGAATTAACCTGAATAGGAGCATTATCACGCAGACCCTAGACTGCCTGAAGAAGTACAGTCACAGCAAATGTAAATAAAGTGACTGGTCTTTTCTCAAATCCTCTAAATATGTCACTCCAAAGGCATCGTCGCCAATCGGAGCTCAGAAAAGACTGATAGGCAACCCATCTGGCAACGTTGAGACTACTTGGCAGAAAATGCCTGGAATCTAGACAGCTAATATGACCGTTTGCTAAATGATAAACCAATACTGCCCTAAACTGCATGATCCTTTCAGACCCCACCATGATCAGAAGTGTGGCCAGCAGGTCAAGGGAGATGATTCTACCCCTCTACTCTGCTCTGGTGAGACCCCACCTGAAGTACTGTGTCCAGCTTTGGA